CCTAAAGCACATGATATGAGACGCCCTCACACGGTTCCACGAGCGTGAAGACGATTTACGCATAACTATCAACACCTTGTCCGGGCGGATCAAGGTTCCTAACGATAAGATCGGTCACATCCACCGTCTGGATAGAAGCACACCAGCTTCTGGTGCACACCCAAATACATATAGACAGGTAACGTTCGCCGCCGCACGCAGAGAAGCTACAATGCTACAGTCACACGAGGGCGAGCCACAGCGCGCTCTCACAGCAAAAGCACACGACGAGTGTACAGAACGGCGCCAGCCCGTCGGGGACTGCGCTCCTGGGTGGGCGGGACGTTGATCCAGGGTGGCGGCGTATGAACCGCTCCTGACATGCGCTAGCTTCTGCGTGCTGACGATACGCGGGCGTTATGCGTCTGGAGCGACGCTGAGAAAGCCGCGGAACACAAGGGAGCACGGCAGGGGTGTGCGGAGGCAGCGAATGGCTCCAGCACGCTACGCGGAAGGAAAAGGAGGCCGAACGAGCCCATCACGTGAGCGATAGTGCACAGAAGAGAAGCCGCTCTCTTCTGGAAAGTGCACGATGGCACAGCCGTCCGCTGTCATGTCCAGCTGTTGCCTTCTGTCGGCTGCTGCAGGGCACCTTCTGCTGCTCCTCTGAAACACGCGCCTTGTACTCGGGACAGCCCTAAGTTGTAACTGTTGCGCCACATGGGTGATCGCAGCGTATGCAGTAGTATGCGACAATTATTGCGCTCTTCACGAACGTAGGGGGTTTTCGTTAATAAATATATTTATTATATGAAAGCTCTGTGTCTGTGGTCGCTGTGAGTATCCATGACGTCACACTATCTACATATCTAGATCGAATTCAGCGCTGTCTGAAGGAGAAATCTACGGGCCGGCTGCTGTGATCGCTAGTTTTCTGTGGTTTCTCCGATCAATACCAGGTGAATGCAATACTGCAGCTTGTGCCGGATGGGGAAGTGTATAGTTGGGAATGATACCTGAAGAGAGAATCGCCGCGAAACGGCGTGTAGATCGGAGCTGGTTCTCGCCATCAACCAAGGAGGAACACTGCCACTTTCCGGGATAAAACCTTCACTGCACTAATGGGGCTAATGACCACAACAGTTTGCGTGCCGGTAATTGAATGAATCGGTCAATCAGTTAATTAATTAATTAACTTCTTAAAAATTGAATATATTTTCTTTTAACATGCCTTCACATATACTAAGCATTAGTAAAATAATATTACGCCAATAACATACGGTTGAATTATAACGTAGAACTGGCTACTCGTATTTACAGTGCGAGTATATCAAACCGAGACAGCTGTAAATACAGTGAGGCCCCTGTCTTTGTCTACCCAAAATAACACTTTCTCCATCCGATGCATCAACGCAATCGCCACGTGAAGGAATGCCTCGTTTTGGACACCTCACGTAACATCAATGCTTCACTGCCAGCAGTTATTACGAAGGACAGCCTATCGCGTTTACAGGACGTTCGAAAGCCAATCATGTAACAACGAATAAAACTTCCACATATTTAAGAGACGTGATCACCGCAGAGAAAATGTTCGTCGAATTAATGAGGAACGAGGAGGCGTTTTTCTGGCTTATGAGGAGCGTGCGCTCAAGGTTATGGCGTGCGGGCCTCGGGTGAAAGTACCCCTCTCGCACACGATACTTTCTTCCCTGTATAATGCCTGTAAGCGCCTTCACAGATGTGAGCGCAATGTAATACACTGTGCGCTATGTGGAAGACTTCGAGTGTTCCTGATTTATTTAGAAGTAGGAAATTGTATGTCGAAAAAAGAAGTTTTATATGTCAACGTCTCAACGCATCAATTCATATTTTCAAGGCTACTAAATACAGTAAATAGTAAATTAATATTCGAACAACAATCATTAGACTCAGTATTACTTTTAACGGCAGTTTATGAATATAAAAACCATTAACTCACGTATCACCTGTAATATATTACAATTCTTGACTTTTTTTGCATTCTATTGCGACCAATCATAAAAAACTATTCCCTTCTTTCAAAAGCGGTACAGGGATCAGCTTTGTTCGCCAGACAGTTTCATTTTTGATAGAACTTTTTCCGTGTGCTAAATTTTACAGTCGAAATAATAAACTTCGTTTTTACTACACTTACATACTACATAAGGAGGGATTAGAAATAAGTTATAAGGAGGAAAAGGAATGGAATCACTACAAGCATCACGATCCATAAATCTGTGTTGAAAGTTTTGAGCTGTAACTTCACCAACACGTTAAGATTAAGGTACTTCAGTGCTGATCCAAACAGTAAACATTGGTGCAGGTGGTGAGGAGAAACGTGAAAGTTCGTACCCGAAAATCAGAACTTCTAGATAATATTGACCTGAGACTACATATCGAATATCCAAGGTCATTTGTTTATTAAAGTAGTCTTAATGTTGATGTGCACTAATGTTCAAGGAAGTACCTTCTTTATGCTCCAACAAACAATGGAATGAAACTAGTAATTCATAATTCCGAGTTCAATAAATCTGGGAAACTTTAAAACACTAAGTAGTTTGAAAGATGAATTGCAATTAATTCTTGGCGTTGGTTAAATTAAATTCTGAAAAAAAAATCTACCATTCGCATAGGTTTACAGTTGTTAATGTAATGAGTAACGTAAGATTTTGCAATGTAACATTAAAAAAAATTAAAAAGGCCGTTAGGCCAAGTTTGATAACCATTCCAATATGATAATAGTAAAGGGTAATTTACCCAGTTCGTAAATTGTCTAATGCACTATAATTTTCGTTTAAATTTGACTATTCATTCCGAGAAAGGTGTCACACTGATGTTGATAGAACGTAGGTCAGGAATATTAGAACACTTGTTTTCTGATAATACCTTTCACGAAACAAGTTTCCGTTTCATTAAGTTTAACTCCGTTCAATTGTCACCAACTTGCCCCCTTATTGTAACTAGGTGTAAACCAGGATATTCGGGGTCGATTCCAAGTTGGATTGATTACTCTGAAAACTTTGAATTAATGGAATTTCACTTCTGATACCTCATTATTTACGGTTAATAAGTAAATAAAATGTTAACTCGTAGTATTAAATAAGTGATGCAACAAACGTGTTATTCGTATTAGAGAAAATACATGCATACGTTCATTTTCTTAAATCGAACGTACAATCAATGTAACTACGATATTTCCTGTCCTGGAATCACCTTTCAATTTCTTTAACGGAAATATTTCAAGAGACAGATCTAAAATACATAAAGAAACCTTTTGAATATTTCTTGGAAATTTTTGAACTTTGTAAATCATATTTTAAAGACCCTCATTTGTTATTAATAGGGGAAATTGCCTGACGGTGGCACTGTTCGAAAAACATGTCTACTTCCCATTCTTCACATAATAATTTGCACTTCGAAAGGTATAAATACAATTTCTTAAGGGACAATTACAAAATTACCTTAAAACTCTGAGATTTTTGTGTAAAGTGACTTTTTCAAACGCTGAGCACTGCGTTAACATACACTCACCAATCTTTAAATTTAAGACATTCAATCTGAAAAAACTCGCTGTTTTGTTTCGTTAAGTATAAACTCACACTCGCACCCTTGCTTCCGCTAGGCATGAGCGCACCGCTTACAAACAAATCACAGCAACAAGCGTTTTCTTAATTTTACTATTCTATTAAATTATGTGTTTGTCCTATACAATTGGTCAATAATAGCAAGCGATAACACATTGGAGGTTCACTACTTTTCATTTAAAGGAAAAATTACGGATTTGGTCGAGTAGAAAGCTCAAATAACTTTCTACACGGAAAAGCCGTAGTTCCTTTTAAATATAAAGGTTATGCATAGTAATATTCTTTTTTTTTATGTTATCACGAAACTAACGCCTAATATTGGAAATTTCATTTGCCCCTTTCACATCACCCAACATTCCACACCCTGCAAACCATTCTCAAAAGAGCCTGCAAAAGCTCTATTCTAGAATGAGTGTCCTGGCGTGGGTAAAATTCCTGCTCGACGCCAGCGAAAAAAAGACATTGGCAAGCAAAGGACGCTGAAGGGACAAGCGTGGGCGACAGCATAGAGCACAAAAGCTCCAGTGAATAGAACGTGGGGCAGTCGCTTAAAAATAGACGTGGTGGGCGAGCAGAAAGAGGGGTGGAAGGAATGGAGATATGCAGAGGAGATGTGGAAATGGAGGCAGTTCAATAAATATTTGGCGTAGTCTCATCACATTCTTTTATGCAAAGAGCTTCTTTGGCTGCTTTACGACCACTGTGAATTCTACAAATGTGAATATAATATAAAATAGCATTGCAATTGCAATTTCTTTACTATACACAATTTGAAATAATATAATTAAACAATTTAAATAAGTTATTGAATTAATAATAATGTAAATTTGTTTCAGAATTGACTATGGACTTTTAGTTATTTGCCGCAACAAAATAAATAGAAACATGTTGGGTACACGAATGTGATTCGTCTGAGGTACGTAACGGAATTAACTAGTTCGTTGCTTTATTTGCACTCCAAGAAGTGATTTTTACATTTACATTGGCTACGCAATACATATGCATTGGCTACGTAATGGATTGTTGTTTTGTTCAGCGGTATTTTTCGCTGATCCAGAACACTTGTTAGTCACTGAACTTGATACCAGTGAACAAAATTGTTTTTTAAGAATGCTTCAATAGTTGAAATGGAGACCTTACTCGATTTCTTTGGGTCTGAGAGTATAGGGGACCTAGGAAGAAATAAGAGTTCCAAGAAAAAAATGGGCTTTAATAAAAATAATTGAGTATGACACTGAAGGAATATATTTGACTCTAGAGACAACAGCAATGTCATTGTTAATCATAGACGTCGAGAGAGCTGAAGGCAACCAGAACGAGCAAAATACAAGCTGGCATCATGGTACTAATAACAGAGCAGCGTGAGGCAATCGAAATCACGTAATACGCAGAGCTGCAGTGCATTACATGGTTACTCACCTTGGCTTCACATGTGGCCGGCAGACGGGACGCGTGCGTGCCTGCAACAGACAGTATCGAATTACCGCAGGTCGCTCCACAGGCGCGTGTGATTGGCTGGGGCTGGGAGCGTGGGATATGTGAAATGGGTTCCGTTAAAGTCATTGTCTCACGGTTAGTTTCTCAATCAGCATTACTAGTTAGCGCTACATATTGACTATAGTTTCAACAGCTAGTAATACTGAATTTCTTGGGACGTGTTCACTGAAATAACCATGAAACTACATTTCTCTCCTAAATATCACTTGAACGTAAAATCATTAGAGAAGATATGTCACCACTGATTACACATAGAAACAAGTTACCTTAATTATAATGAAAATCTTGATAAGCATATCAATTTACTGACAGAAAAAGATACTCTGTCATTTTTTCAATATTATTTCACGTAAATTAAACATTATTTAAAATAATCTCAAATGCATTTTATTGCTATTCGAAAACTGTAAAAGAGCGTTCAAAAAGTCGAACAGTTTCTCTTGCTGAGAGTACGGTAGATTTTATACGAGTACACCATAACGAATTCCAAGCAACGACATAAATCCGATTTTTCAAATCAATTTTTCTGTATTTCCCAATACTCCGCAGATTCATTAAAATTTTACGAATTATTAATTCCACAATTTACAAAGTACATTGAGGTACAGATTTTTGCATTTGGCACTTTTCCGAATCTTTCCAGAGATAAAAGTGCTTATGAAACTTCAGGAATGTTTGTGGAAAGAATGCATTCATTACAGTTCTTGGCACTTCACGGATAGTTTTCTGCTTGCCTTCAAGAGAAATTTCGCGAATGGCAGTATCTTAACTTGCCCCATTTCAAGAATCTTAAAATTAATACGAATTCGCGACCAATTTAATTTAAAATTAAGGAGGAAAGCCATGTAATTAGTTTAATGGAACAATCATTATTTTTTTCTTTATTTTCATACAAACGACTCTCAAAATTCCAACCAATAACCTCCAAACAAGCAAATTTTGAATCATGTGCCACGAAAATTGATCCACAATGTAGTGTCATATTTTTGTGCTATTGTGTATTTTTGAAAACGCAGTCCTCTTTCACAATATATCCGTCATCTACTTGAAGTTTTGCCTATCCGTATGTTAATCATGTTACATGAGAAATGCAATATAATTCGGAATGGAAACAGAGCTTGTGTTCTTTCCAAAAGAAGAGAATTGTCAAAAAACACAAAATACGATAGTATATCTGAAATGCCATCACACAATAACATAAATTGTACAATATGTCTTAATGAACAATCAGAATTGAAGAGCTTATTTCCAAAGACATATCCCCATTTCCATTTGCTTTCTAGTTTTAAGAATCAATATATTCACAAGGCGCTTGTCCATCCTGATGACAGAAACCATGTTCAAAAATTGCGTTTCTCCAATGTTACATAGTATATGAAAATTGTTGAATTTTATCTTTAGCTGTAAGGGTGCACGTGAATACTTCCCTTTTCTGAAAAATTGTGTTTTATGGAGAAACGTCACAACAAAAATAAGCACTTTATTTTCTTTAACTTTCTCGCCTACTACATACTTACGTGGCAAAAAGCGACATTTTCCATCAGAAAAATTCGAATTGTAAGCCCTGATATCGAAAACGCGGATTCATACCTTTATATCGTATGTAGTTCGGGGGTGAAAACCGGGAATGGTTCCGAAAAATTTGTTTACGGAAAAACGTCCAACCGACTGTAATCAACGCAGGCATCAAAACCGTTCAGACGATTTTCTCCAAAATTGATCGATCTGGACAAAAACTATGCCTTACTAATTTAAAACTGATATTTTGATTCTTGGGGTACTTTACATAAAGCCTTAACATAATTTTAAAAATATTTCACCAAAATGGCCCTAAATTTTTTTGTTAAACTTCATCCTGAGATTGAGTAAAGAACACTTATAAATTGGCGTGCGTCTGATTTTGGTTGGACTGAATTTTCGAAAAATTGCAAAAGATCAAGTTCTTGTCGGCGTCATCCTACAACTACACTAGTGAAGACATATTTTTTCATTACTAATAAAATCTATTCTCCCATGACATGTTTTATATAAGGTCATTCACAATTTTTCGAGAACGTTAGTAGTTTTCGCGACTTTTTGCGAGAAATTTTTAAACAAATAACTAAAAAAATGCTTGAACATTTTCTTTTTTCTGGAATAAAGTACAATTATATAAAATGCGCAGGTCTCATTTTTGTTGAACTCTGAATTTTCGAAAATTGGAAAAAGAAGATGTCAAAAGAACATCATTGATGATAGGGATTTTTTTCGCAATCAAATCTGGTGTAAAAAATTCGAACTTTGAAAAGGTCGTGTTTACGTTCTTGAAAAAAATGAGTAATATGCATGTTGTTTTTTTCTCGGGATTTAAGGCAATTTGTTTTTTTTGTTTTTTTTAACGACACATTTACCCCGGATAGAGTAAAGGACGCTTAAAAATGTTTGGTTTAATTTTCTTTGAACTCTTCGTCGAAAATTGTAAACGTTACGAATAATGCGAGAAAGTTTGCGCAGTTTAACATCATTAGTTACTGCATTCATCGTCGACAGCGGTTTAATTTCCTTATATTTCTTAGAATACCTGCTGGCAGAGGCCTCCTTTTCTTTCAGCCTACAAACTCCGTCTGAACGGCGTAGGTTAGGTTTTTCTATTGTTTTTTACATCAACCTATAAACAACATCACATACATTTGTCCGTAATATTTGGTAGCCTTGGATCTCAATTAGCCTAAGTAACAAACCAACCTTAAATTGACTTTTGTCACCGACGCAATGACGAGTCATGGCGAGATGGTTTTGATGGAGGTTTCCGGATGCCTCCAATGAAAGACCAGCGGCACAAAGCCAAGGGCCAGATGAAATTCGCGATGTGTGACTAACGTTTGCAGGCCTCGTTGAGTTTCAGAATCTGAAAGCCACTGCAGGTGTTCACCGGGGCAACTCTAACTACTTTTCAGAATTACAAATGACTCCTACAAAAGGGTCAACGTCATCATTAAAACCAGCTCGTTTGTGCGTGCTATTCTCAGTCAGCATTTGAGATTCAGACTTACGATAATGTCACGAATATTAAGAATAAAGGAGGCGAAAATGTTTCACACACAACAATTTCATTTTCTATCTGCCCTGCAAATATTACTTTTTCGCAATTATCTAGACGCTTTTGACAGTCATCTATTACAATTTAGATAATATTCACGTTGAATTTACGGAAAGATGATCATTTCAAATGCAAATGCAAATTAATTGAAAAAAATGTATACTTTTTTCATGAATATTGACGTTTTAAAAAATAATTGCTACAAATTATTTTCAAATCTCAAATTTACATAGCCTACAATAAACGTACATGTTTTGTGTATTAATCTTCAAGATTCATCGATATCTTACAGCCCCTACTCCTACGGTAAACCACGTGCGTTGGGGAAATTTATGTTTCCATTTTCTCTGAGTTCGGCCAAATTTTGAAACATGAAATCTGAGTACTTCTAACTAAAGTAGACTGACTTCGAAAACTAAAATTTATCTTCAATGACAATACATACCGTACATTACCTCTTAATCAAGTTTTTTTTATTCGAATTTTTGTAAATAGTTCTAAAATAAGACAAGTTGTATTTAAGAGATGTATAATTTTGATAACAAAACACGATTTGTTTTCATTTAGGAGTGCCTCCCACTCACATCTACAAAAATTGAAAAACCGAATTTGATAAAAATTCTCATATTAATCACTTTAATCTCCATTGGCAATAAAAGCAATACGTGACTTAGACGTCAGTGTCGAAACCCCCCACTGACACGCTTTAAAAACGAATTTGTTAAAAGCGTTTTCTAAAAAAAAACAAAACATTTCATTACAAGTTCTTCAATGAACATCCTGCTCCATTTTCATGGTCACCGCCTATCTCAGTCCCTATATCACATTCTAGTCTCACAGCAAGTGAACTTTGGAATGCATTAAAGAAATACATTCACGGGAAACAATTAAAACCCTTTGCAATGTACACTAATCCTGGATAACGTAATGAACGAGATATATGTTCACTTATCTAGTCTATACAACTAAAATTATAGCGCGTTTGTGATTTCAGAATAACTGACCGGCCTGCTACCGGGAAAAGCTACACTTACCTAGATAAGATTTTCATTGAAGGATATAGATTTGTGTAGGGCTTAACTTTTGATTCTTTTTTCAGGTCACTGTTGTCCATAATATAGAGAAGAATGTATTTTGTACAAATCTTATATTTTAATAACGTAAAAGAATTTTTGAACACCAGCTCTTGAAAGTAATATAAGAGCTAAATATATTACAAATATATCTCCATATCACTTTCCTAATCCTTGCGTATATCAAATTCAATTTCTCGAGGATATCTCGAAAATAGCGAGAATTCACAAATTTAAAGGGATACTTCAAACCTATAAAATGTTCTTCATGCATTTTGATTCATCAATTCCGGGCAAGGTAGGGGCAGGGCAGACGCAGGCAGGGCAGACGCAGGGCAGGGCAGACGCAGGGCAGGGCAGGGCAGACGCAGGGCAGGGCAGGGCAGACGCAGGGCAGGGTAGACGCA